GTTTTAGCTGCTCTACCTGATACCTCTTCACCATTTTTTTGCTTTTTGTGTTTTACCAAACTCAAATGTTTCTTAATCTCCTCCTTGATATCTTCAGGAACTTTCTTACAAGAAGCAATAGCCCCCCCAATACCGGCAAGGTGTTTCTTGAACCGATAAATACTCCCATTAGTATCCTTTCCACTATAATTACACCTTATAAAATTTTTGTCATTCAGATTCGGGTTATAGCCCTACTTCCAACTCGGATCACCACTTCGAAAAGAACATTTTCATACAACAAGGCTCGTTTTTTTCCTTTTTTGGTTTTACCAAATTCGAATATTGTCTAATCTCATCCCTAATACCTATAAGAACTTACAAGAAGCAACATTTACTTTAACTGGCAAGGTGTTTCTTGAACCGGTTTATATCCCCATTGGTATCTTTTTTACAAAAATTATACCGTATATAATTTTTATCATTTGGATTTGGTTATAACCATAATTCCAACCTAGATCACCACCTTTAGAAGAACCAGAAGAAGACTTACCCAACTAACAAGGCTCCTTTTGCTCATTTTTTTTGTTCTACCGAACTCAAATATTGTTTAATCTCATCCCTGATAGCTTCAAGAACCTTTGTACAAGAGGCAACATCCCTCCTTATACGGGCAAGTTGTTTTTTGAATGGGTTTATACCCCATTAGTGTCTTTTTTGCAACAATTACATCTAATACAATTTGTCATTTGGATTTGGTTTATAACCATACTTCCAACCCAGATTACCACTTATAGACGAAGCTGAAGAAGACATTGAAATAACAAATAAAATCTCAAATATGAAGATTCTTGACTAACATTTTTTTCTCGATCTTCAATCTTTAATATTTGAAATGTCCCTCCACAAGGGCTATTTTCACCCTTGGGTTGGTGCAGTCTCCCTGGGCACCCACCAGGGACCAAACGCCCAAAATGGCCCTAGCAGCTAGGTGGGTGGCTTTTTGAAACAATGAATTCATTATTTACATGCTCTCATAGACTGAGAGGAAGATTTTTGTGGGGGTGGGGGGTGTGGCGGGGGCAGGCTCAATGTGGTGTAATAAATGAGGCTTGGAAGGAGGCACAAGGGTTCGAAGGGGAGCGATGCGATTGGGGTGGAGTGAGAAGGAGGCATGGGCAAGTGAGCTACTAAGTGTCATGATGGGGGGGGTGGGTGAGATGACAGGAGCAAAAAGGATGGTTGCGTAGCCCTTGTCATTGGATGGCTAGATGCCCAAGGGATTAGACGACGGAGAAGTGTATGCATCTTGGGAGGGATGAGGATTGAAGAAGACTCACCTCGAGAAGTGGAACCAGAGGGTGTAGATCCTCGACATTTGAAGATACATTGTAAGAACATGAACCGCACACAACTCTACATTGCTTTTGATAAATAAAGCCTTCTTTTGCTCCCAACCGTAATTAATGGATGGAGTCATTTCGCTCATGGCTCTGTCTTATTCGCTTTCATCTTCACCTTGTCTAATAGAGGACGGTCATCATCAAATTCATCTGATTTTATCACGAGCTTTTGTAACGATTCACACTTCTTACTCAAATTTTCCTTGTCACAAGTATCTTGGTCATATGCCTCTTCCACTGTGAAGCTTCTTTCTTCCAATACCCTACTTCAATTTTAAGTTGCAGATAAGACACATGTTGCGAATGATATTTGAGTGATGCCAGTATATGTTAACGGTCATGTAGAAAGCAAGGCAGAACTTCAAATTGTGCCTCAGTTTTGGATTGCCAGCAAGTAAAGCATGAACTTTGAATAACACCTTATTAGTGTGATCCAGAAAATAGTGTGTGCTTTGAAGTTGTGAATTGGTGCACAACTCCAAGTAGCATGCCCTGCACTGATGCACAACTCCAAGTAGCGCCCTGGTTGAGGCGCCATTTCAAATAGCGCCCTATCTCTACAGGGTACAAATATGTGATGATTAAAGCTTGAAGCGATGTGGAGCTGGATGCGATTCAAAGTTCTTACAGAGGGAGCATGAGAGAGGGGTGAGGGCGATGTGAGATGCTAGGGATTGTCCACGATACCCAATCAGCAGGTGGATAAATTAGGTGTCATCGAGAGAAATCATTGGGTGATTTGAGGTGGCACACAACCGAGGAAGAAGGGAGGAACAAAGAAAGCATTGGCATGTGGAGAGAGGTATGTTGGGGCCTTTGAAGCCTTTAAGGTCACCTTAAAGGAGATGTTGCGAGGTTGGGCGGACGTGGTAGCATTTGAAGCGGCATGTGGCAAAGGGGGGTCATCATGCAGAGGATCATCATGGAGCATCTTGCTCCTCTATCTACGTAAGGGATTATGGTAGTCCACAGTCCAGATATCAGGATCATGAGGAGACTCATGGTTCTGAGGACCATGCAGCTGGTCTTAGATCACATGCAGGGAATTGCGTGTGTCAATGGGAGCCTACATGGGAGGGGTGGGTAGCAGGCTGGGGGAAAATTGGAGATGGAGTAGGATTGTTTGCCAACAAAGAGGGAGAGAGACTTAGGGATCGCCTTTGTATAGGAGGTCTGGGGGAGGATGGAGGTGGACCCAAGGGGGAGGTCTTTTGGAGTTAACCTTCAGGAAGCCTCCACAGAGGTCGGCTGGAGGGGAAAGATAGTAGGTGGAGGACATTTTGGAGAGGGAAACGGGAGACAAATCTGGATTTCCAAGTGAGAGAGGCTCACTTTTGTATGTCCCGAGAGTCATGTCTTGGGGCAGAGAATCGAGGAATGAGAGAGTTCTAGAGGGCCTTGAGTCTCTTCTAGAAGAGATGGCCTGGGATGAGAGAATGATCTGAGGAGCTAAGGATGCTGATGTGGGGGCTAGGAAGAGGTGGAGAGTAGGGTAGACCCCAGCAAGGTTTGGCTTGTGCTGGAAAGGGAATATTATTTCAAACATGAGGCATAACTAGATTGGGGTGGGGGGGGAGGAGGGGGTGGAGGGGCGGAGGAAGGTTTGGGGGCAGGTTGGGTGGCTAAGGCCTTTGAGGTGAGCATGAGTTTAATGAGGTCGATGTAGTTATTGTAAGGGGGGGTGGGGTATATAGGGTAGTTGAGGTTTGGTGGGGGATTAATGGCAGAAGAGGAGTTAGGCTTAGGGAGAGGTTTAGGATGGACAGGTTGAGAATTAATGGGAGACAAGGAGCAGAAGAATTAGAAAGCATGGAGGGGCCACGAAGGTTTCCCCCCTAAGAGGGGGGACAAGAGGAAAAGGTGTTACCAGAGGGAGAGAAGTGCAGGAAAGATCAGAGTTAGGTTTGATGGAGCATGGCAATGGTGGAGTTCCATATTTTATAGCTCATTTCGTAATAAAATTCTCATAGAATGGATTTATTTGGCAATCATACTTATTTGTTCTTTCCTATGGCCCATGAAGTGCATCGTATTAATGGAAGAGAAATGCTTTAATATTTCTTATGATTTGAATATTAATAGTGAATGTGGAGGCTTTTATCTGAAAGTTCAGATTACCAACTTAATATGCATGTGAAATGACAAATATACATTAAATATTCTTGTATAAATAGCCAAAATCCCAATAGGTGCAGACGGCCCATGGGAAGAGGCTTGATGATGGAAGTTTGGGGGCGAGAGAGAGAGGGAGCAGTGGCACGCAGACCGTCTATGGGAATATGATTGATGATAGTAGTGGAGAGATAGCAGATCTGGGTACTTCTGAGGGAATTTTGAAGAGTATAAGCATGGGACGTAAATGCGGTGCTGTTTAAAGGAAAGTGGAGGGTACAGTAATTAAGTTCTGTTCCTTCTAAAATCCTTTGGCCATTTGTTATCTAATAATTGTAAAAATAAGGCAATTTCAGAAAGCTTTTGAGATAGATTTTCACTTCCAAAAGCGTCATGCAAAAATCTGCGAAATATTGTTTATGTTTTTAGTTTCGCTGTAGTTCCCCCCATTTATGTTCTCCCCATTTATTAATTGATCTCTTTGACATACCTTCTGGCTGCTTTCTACCATGTATGAAAATATGAATATATAGACAACTACCAATTCATTGTATCTTTATATAAAATTGCTGACAGATATCTGGCTTAATTTCCTTGGGGGGTGTGAAGAATGCAAATAAATAGTTATGTAAGATGAACATGTGCCACAACAATAACGGGTTGTCAGCATGAACTTTGAGGGTTGTGGTTGGGCTATGAGTTTTAGAATGAACAGCCTTGGAACATATCTTTGATTTGGGGAAAGAAGGCTTCATGGTTGAGGTCAGACCAGTGTTTATTTCATGATGTTTCTCGGGCTCAACAATGTGATTTGTTTTTCTTTTTTGAAACGGTGTATGTTTTATTGTATTTTCATGCATCTTCCATGAGTGCTAATAGAAATTTTTTTTTTTTAAATATTACTACAAATTGCAAGTTGGTTTCACAATGTTTTCTAAACAAATGCATTTTATGTGAGTTTCTTGGGACCCAACTGTATTATCATGCAGGTTCCAACATTTTATGGTTTTATGTCTTGCTTAATGTGTTAGCTATCACTTTGATCCTGCTTTGACACCATTTATTTCAGAGATCATTGGCCTAAAGGATTTTCATGACATGCTACATGTTGTCCTAAATATGTTGTGGACTTCTTTCTGTAATTTATATTTTCATGTTAATTTTTTACTGAGGGCATGGATTCAATGTTTATTGTTGTTAATGGACAGTGTTGAGATTCTATAGTGTGCACTAATCTTTGGTTTGAATTTTTGGTTGTAATAGACAGTGTTAACAAGCAATGTTAACAACAGTCACAGCAATCATCTCCTTCATGTCCATTGGAGAGTCATTGAGATTCTGTGTGCTTTAATTTTTTGGTGTTTGTGTAGAAAATCATAAGCAGTCCCATTGTTTGTTCCTTGTGCAATTTAGGAATGCTTAAGATGAAGTTGTTAGCTTACCTTTACATGCATTTCTCATGCATTGTGTTAATGTTCTCTAATTGTGGTAGTGCTTGTATTTCAGGCTCTTCTTCATTCTGTTCCTATAGGAAGGCTTGTTATACTTGATCTATTTGCAGAAGTAAAACCCATATGGATGACTTCTGACCAATTTTATGGAGTTCCTTACATCTGGTAAGAAACAAGTTTTGGCTAGAAATGATAAACTTTAGAAGTTTCTGTTCCTTTTTCTTTACCTCTCTGTTAATGGGATTCTGATGTTTTACAGGTGCATGTTGCACAACTTTGCTGGAAACATTGAGATGTATGGTGTTCTTGATGCTGTTGCATCTGGCCCTATAAACGCTCGTCAAAGTGAAAATTCGATGATGGTTTGCTGCTTTTACTTTGGCATTGGTTTTGATATATTTTATTAAATTGCAGAATTTTGAGCTTATCATAGTTTTAATCTTAAATAAATACTTCTATATGCATTTGACATACCAATGTATACTTGGTATTCAACTATCCTTGCTGACTGAAAATGATGGCCCATGTTGTTTTAATGATGTAACTAATTCATTGAACTACCCTGAACAGTATTACACTACTAGATTAAATGACTCAAGTCCCAAAATGAAAGAAAGGAATATATAATGTGAGTCCCCTTTTGCCCAACACAATCCTTCAGGATAAGGCGCCTAGCAGGACATGTGCCCTCTTTGCCTTGGTCAATATGATGTCATGTTGACAATCCTTTGCTTGATGTGCTTTCACCTGAGAACATCAACAATTATGCTCTCTTTGGAAAATTGATGTACTTTCACATGAGAACATCAACAATTACCCTCTCCCTTTGGAAAATTAAGCATTCTCAGTATGCTCAAAGATAGAAGGAATGGTGGATTCTAAGACTCATGAATGGGGTACTTTTTGTTTCAGTGGAAAACATCACTCCTGCCTTGTATATTGGGAATCACTTGTTGGTTAGAGCCTTGGTCTTCTACTTCTAAGGGAGCCATTTTTACCCTTCAAGAACTCATTTTTGTTACCATAAGTAGTCTTAAATCCCATTTCATCAAAATGTCAATTTTGTGGACTTTTGTGCTGCCACTATTGTTTTATCGCAAATGAAATGAATGATCTTACTTAGCTGGGAAATCAGTGGCATGGGCTTGATGTTTAGGGTTCACGAGATTAATTCTCTTGTACATTGGTTTTGATGTCCATATATCCCCATCAGGATGGTCTTGCCAACTCCAAAGTTGTTGTGACCGGTGGAGCCTTATTTCTTTAATATACGTGCAGCTTGTTACAGGGCTTGTTACGCAGTTCCTCAAGGAAATTCCCACACTGAAATACAAAAATCTAAAGGACACTTTGAAAGATATAGATTGAACACCGACTGGTTTCAACACAAACATAATAAACGATGAAGTAGAAGATATGGAGGGAAACCAATACCTAAAGTTGATGCTAATTGCTGCAGTGACTACTCGCGGTCAAGCAGCATAAATGCCAAAACCATCACCACTGATAGATCAGTTTGGCTGCCAATGCCTGGAGCACCTCGCTAGACCATTAACCTTTTCTGTTTGGCAATTAACCCCTTGTGTAGGGTATGCCGACATCATATATTCATTTTGCATTGCACACCTTATAGCCCTCTATGCCCGGGGCTTTCTCCTCTCTTCTCTATCTATTCTCTTTCAAAATTTAATTGAGAACCTAATTGCACGCGTTAAGAGGGACATTTATTTAAAATTTAGAACCCATTAGCTAGACAGTCCTATTGGATCTATTTGAAAACCCTGTTGTGTAACACTCAACGAGCAAAAGGAAAGCTTATATAATTCATTCACTATTTGATAATGAGCAGAGCACATCGAGTAGCCATGAGTATCTTCTTTGGAGCGCATATTCCTCTCGCTCTTATATGGAGGATGAAAACCCTAGGAGGGCTTCCAAGAAGAACAAGAAATAGTTTGAATAGTTTTTTTAGTTGTTTTGGGGATATTTCGAATATTTTCCTTTATTTATTTCATTGCTGGACAAATAAAGGACTTTTTAGATATTTAATTAAAGTTATGGAATTTAATTTTAAATTATACTTAATTTAGGACCTTTTGGCCAAAAATTTCATTGTATGGACAAATATTGTCTAAAACATTAAATAGACAATATTTAAGTGGCGCATGGATGGATGGAGCAAGATCACACAATTTGTTTTAGAGAAAAACTGGCTTCTATTGAAGAAGAAAGAAAAGAAGCCCAAGTCTTGAGCCCTAAGTTGGGAGTTAACCTTGGGTTTCCTCAAACTTGCATGCATTTGACTGAGATTTCTTGCTCATTCTTAATATTTTCTCAAGTTCTCTACATCAGACCAGGGCTTTGAAATCATCTAACAAACACATAAACTCTTTTGATAACACCTCAAGGAAAAGGTCACCGTATGTCAATAGAGTCTCTTGATCCACTTAAACTTGTTGGCCTAAGTTCAGCTTTACACCAAACCACAGGTGCATCTTTGAGATGAGCATCGGTTTCGATGGGCGAACCAACAACTTCCCTTATTTATTCTCCTTGGGGCCCTTCATCCATTTCTTCATCAAAGATCGACTGAACTACGAAATTTTGTTTATCATCATATGAGCAAAAGATACGTCCGGTTTCGTCCCTAACATGGCATACATCGATGAAAGGCCACACAAGGCCAACATTAAATATATCCAGAATAGAGAAGCTTCAAACATTACTCTGCAAGTAATTGCTAAACAAAAGTGGCCTGTGAACACATCAATCTTTTATTTATGAGTTGTATTCCAAGGTAGTGGCTCCTTTGTAACTTTAGTTCTGCACCGACTTTAAAACTAAAGAAAAGAAAATGTTATTACTTGGATTTTATGAAGTTACAATTTTCTGTTCATTGATTTAGGATTCCATATATGCATGCTGCTGCAGTGTGTTAATGAGGTTCATATTTTAAACAATTGTACACACTACGCAATGATTTTCAGTTTAATATTGCCTATTTCTAGGTTTCCTTGCTTATTTGTTGGCATGTTTCTAGCCAAGATTTGCTTGTTGGCTCTCATTATGTTGTACTTTAATGCTGACATATTTTATTTGCTCATGTTCGTAATTATTGTTATCTATTTTTTTACTGATATCAAATGTATCTGATGATTGTTTTATATATATATCCTTAAATAGGTTGGTGTGGGCATGTCCATGGAAGGCATTGAACAAAATCCTATTGTTTATGATCTTATGTCAGAAATGGCATTTCACCATAGTAAAGTGGATGTGGAGGTAATATTTAATCGAATGATGAATAGCTTATCTAAGAACATTTTTTAATATGTATAAGCATCTTTGTGCATGCTTTTCCTTTTAATTATAAAGTTTCCATGGACATGAACATAAGTTTTTTCGACTGACTTTCTTAATAAAATTATTCCATACTTCTTTAAAAATGCATGAAATAATTGATATCTGCACAATTAGAGTGCACAAATGAGTGCCATAAATAATGTTTTCTATGTTGAGCAATTCCCATCTTGGGTTCTCTTATAAAGTAATGCACTTAAACCGATACATTATTCTTGTATGAAGGCCTCTGAATGCAATGGGAATTGGAAATGTTTATTTGGATATACTCTTTTCGATATGGAACGTGAATACTTATGGACAAACAGTTATGCTCACCTATTTGTTAAATGTGTGAACTAGTTTTTGAGCTTTAACTCTCATTGTGTCATGTTACGATTTGCATGTACTTGTCTGTATTTTGTGAACCTACTGATGATCATGTTGTTGTAAGTACAATTGTCATTTTGTCTCAAATTCTTGCATATAGGCCCTAAGGGCTTCACTAGTAATTTCTGCAAATTATGATGGGAATTAAGTAGCCAAGACATAGTTCATGAAGCACTTTGGAGCATGTCATGCAAAGAACTAATCATCTGCATGACAGTAAACATTATAGGTCTACTGTGATTCTTCTGCCATTTATTGTGTGCTTTTTTTGTTTATTTATCACACTATGACCTTATCCCTAGAAATCCACCATCTTCTGGGCCAATTTCATGCCGTGCACTGCTAGTGCAACTCTGTCTTACTGGCAACCAATGCTTTGACATTTTCAACACCTCATGAGAGATTAATATTCTAGATTAATTGCTATATATCAGTTGGTAATGTTATGATCAATTTATATGACTAATGCAAAGTTTTAAATGTTAGATCTGCAAGTATTACTTCAACAAATAAAAGTTTGGTATAAGTCTTAATAAACTTTATATGCACCTGTATACATACTATAACTATATATGATTTAAGGATACTTTCTTTGAGAAAGTGCTTTTGTGCAGATTTTCATGTGGAAGAAGTTTCACGTATGTTAGATAGGTATCGAATCCTCAGTGCATTGGAGGAATATGTACTTGGAGCTCTTTGTAGAAAGCAATTTGCAGATTTTTTGAAATGGATAGCAAGTAGCAACTCTTTCTTTTAGGCCTAACTATAATTCTCTCTTAATGAGCTCATGCAAGATGCGATATGTGATGGAGACATGTCATTTTTAAGTTGGAGATTGAAACAATTCATATTCTAGTAGGTACCACTATTAGTATTTTTGAAGTTAGACTTGCCCACATTTTCCTCCAAAAATCAAAGATGAGTGTATGACCATGGTGAACGCCAACTTCTAATGTGATGCAGGGAAATTTGAGGGAACAATAAAATCAGCAAGAAACAAAGCTAAACACAACATAAGTCGACGAAATCGTAGGTTTCTTTACTACACCCAAGTTAGGGTTGCAAAAGCCTAAGTTTTTCTCTCTTTCAGTTTCTACAAATCATGTGGAATTCCCCTCTCAAGGCCTCACACATCTCTTATATATTATAATTCAATGTTCAAAGACATTACATGTCCATACAATGATTAAAATGACCTATATATATCTTGACTTAAACTTAAAATTTTTAATGACAAATTTACCCCTATGAATAGTACTCGTGAATAGTACTCATAAATAGTACTTGTGAATAGTTATCATGAAATAAGCAAAAAAATATAAAAACTCTAGAATCCTTAAAAAACTAAAAACCCAATAAATAAGCTCTAAAAACAAACTCTAATATATGCTTTTTAAAGATGAATAAAAGAAAGAATAAAAACAATTTTTCCCTCCATCATTCTCCCCTGGTTGGAAAAAACTCGTCCTCGAATTTGAAGTGTGCTAAGATGAAATTGATGTTAATTGGACAACATTCTTCAACTCGAATATTGCAAACATGATCTTGGAACTTGTGGGTTACTGCACTGACCAAAACACGGTGATTATGCATTGGAACTGAGAAGCCCTTGAGTAAAGGTCACTATATGTTGATAGAATATTTTTAATCACATAAACTTCTTTAATTTGTACTACTTCAGCGATGTAACCCTGCTGAATTTGCCCAGGCTTAGCTCTAGGACACACCATGAGTGCATCTTTGAAATCAACGATTAAACTAACAACTTCACCCTCTTCCAAATATCTTCACCATCAAATATCTTCACCATCATCGTGATCCTTACCATAGATCGGATCTTCTAAAATAGCTTGTTATTCATCTGAGTATATATCTAAGATTAGTGGTGAATCCCCATCTACAACTTGTTGATTTTCGCTGCAATCTGCGTCAAAATCAATAATCTCATCCTCCAAATCGAAAATCCTAGGGTGATGTTCCCCACATCTATGTCTTTTGTCACTATCCTCATCACTCGACTCCCTACGCAGAGCGCAACTGGAGATCCTCTTGGGCAGAAAGATCACCGTCTTGTCCAATATTGAGGCTTGCGAACTACTGCGCCAACTGTTGTACTTGCCTTTCAAGTTCTTCAATTCTATCATCTATGGCTACACAGAGTGAATCTACAAAAATCGACCTTCGACGGCCCCTTCTCGTAGCTATAGGTTTGCCGAAATCAACAACAGTTGCTGAAATCAGCAAAATCTAGGTTGTTTTGGCAAAACTTTGGCCAAAATCAGCAAACTCTAGAGCCCACTTATAACTTCCCTTATTTGTTGTTGACCTGGAGAACCAAAAAAAATGGTGCTACAGTAATTCCGTACGTACTATAGTTGAAGAAGCCACAAGTTTCTTCTCCACACCCAAGCTAGAGTTGCAAAAGCCTAAGTTTTTCTCTTTCAATTTCTAAAAATCATGTAGAATTTCCCTCTCAAGGCCCCGTACATCTGTTATATATTATAATTCAATGTTCAAAGCAGTGGTTTAAAAAACGGATCGGTGCGTCGGATCAGGCATCCCAAAAACTGATCCAGATCGGTGAATCGACGATCCGGATCGGGAATCGGGCCGAATCGCTCAGATTAAGTCTTAAAAAAATCCAAATAATTTTTTAAAATTCATTATAAATGTTGTTTTTTAGGAATCCAATAAGAAATGGAGGTACTACATTATTAACTTTCATTGTTTTCATCAATTTATGAATATTGAGATGTTCTTTCCTTGTATGAACTTATGTTGACCATTAAATTTACATCACACAAAAGAAATCATAGGATTATCATGGATTAAGTATATAATCATATATGGACTACAATAAAGAATTGACTAAATCGATGAAAAATTGGTCATTAAAACCTTGAATTGGCGGAAGACCCTAATCCGTTTAAAAAACCCAA